CTTAGAAAACATCTGCTAGGCTGCAGGAAGGTGACCTAGGGCTCATAGCAATGGGCTTGTCTATTGAATGAGTCTGAGCTTCATCCTCTGGCTGCAGGGGGCCATGGGTGATCTTTCTACAAGGCAGTGCCATGATGAGCACCATGCCTAAGGAAGCCAAACACATAATGGAAAAATTCAAGCACCTTGATCCTCTGAAGTTCTTTTTCAGCAGCGAATAAACAAAGCATACAGGGAAGCTACTAAAGCTGGTAGGTTCTTGAGCTATATATTTTTTACAAGAATTTATGGTCTGCATGAAAACCACACCAGAATCATGCAAGGAGGCAATTCTGAACCAGTAAAGTGTTAAGTATTTTGGAGCTAGACAACATGCACAAATATATGAATGAAAGAGATTGCCATGATTTTTTTAAGAGGACCAGGAGTAGGTTAAATGAACAAGTGACCTAAGCTCTCCTACTGTACATTATCAACATGAATAGGCTAGTTCACATTGTATTGGAGAAGCACAAACACGGGAGCAAAGCCACTGATAACACATTTGTACTTTCACAGTGCATGGCTTGGTGAGGAGAGGGAGGAAGAATTTCAGTTCCCATTAACCTCCTTGGCCAGGTGTCATTGTACGTGGCACAACTGCACAACCCACCTCAAAGCCCTAAGTTCAGAACAGCGTCAGTGAAACACAGATAATGAACAAAATAATATGTAATCAGGCCACACATCTAACTCCAAGAGAACTTAAAAGCAATCAATCTTTTTTTTAAACAAGAAAGAAACTAAGTCAATAGCATCTGAGCAACAGATGAGAATTAAAGCAAAATCTGTTGGCGAATGGTAACAGCTTTTGTGTTCTTTGCTGTTGAAAATGTGCACGTAGCAGCAACTCCAATATGTTCACAAATTCAGATGCAAGAGGCTACGGAAAACAGCTGCTATTTTTATACTCAAGTTAAAATCAAACACCACCTTTCAGATCTTAATTTTGTTAAAATAGTGGAAGGGAACAAAACCTGAGTTGGTAAATGTCTGAAGGATCTAAGACCTGCAATTTCTACCAGAGGAACATACAGAGTATACTGGACAACAGAAAGAAGAGCTGGCATTGTATTATGGGCAATGGGGTACAAACCTACCAAATCAAGTCACTGGAAATAAAAATTACAGTTAAGGCTTAATTTAGTAGTATTCTGGAAAACAGTGATATGTGAAGCTCTAACAGTTTTTATATTATGGACTACTATAGTTAAATCTTTCTTTATAGATTTCTTTTTCTTTTAATACCCTATATTAAGAAGTGAAATTTTTTCCTTATAAATTATTATGATATTGTAGAAGTAGTAATAATAATTGTAATAACTCAATTAGTTTCAGATTTCTGCGTAACAAATTACCATAAACTTAGCAGATGAAACAACACCCATTACCCATTGCTATAGAGTCAATTCTGACTCATAGCAACCCTACAGGACA